TGATCGGTGTCCGAGGGCTCTTTTCTCGAACAGTAGGTGCGATACCTGTTCTTTTCTTTCTTTCGATCATTTTGTTTTCTTTTTCCGAGTGGTTTGTATCCTATTTTTGTTTTTTGTTTTCTCGCGGCGTCGTATGTGCCGGGTTTTGAGACCACGGGCTCCCCATTTTTTGTGGACTATAGAGCTAATGTGAGAAACAACAACAACAACAACAACAAGACCTCATCCAGTGTATATAGTCATCCATCTCCTGGACTGCCGTTCTCTCCGACGTGTTATGCAGTGAGGGGGCTCCTGGAATCATGGCATGGCGTCTATACATGGGGGGCACGGTACTCATGTCCGCCAAAGACTCAACCCAGTCACACAACAACAAACTCATATCCGCCAAGACTCCACCCAGCTACGCAACAACAGCCAGATTTTTGTTGATATTTTACACATTCTATTTTCAAGTAAAATGAATGACGCCCGACGGTTGACGTTCTGCGAATAAATTAACATGATAACCACAGTACAAATGTAGTAGTCGAATGAGATTTGGTGGCGTGAAGAAAAAACTTGCACCTGCGCCAGCTGTGGAAGCAAGAAAAAACCGTGGACCAACTTCTGCAGCAGCGAGGAAGCAAAAGCTGGATGCTGCTGCTGCTCGATCGACGAGCAAAGGACGGCCGAATCTGGTGGATTGTACATCAGTCCTAGGGTGTGCTATGGGATCGAAACATAGGCTTGCATTCCGTGTACAGCAATTGCCCATGCAGACCAGTATCGTTGTTCGTTGTTGTCGGTTGGAACGCCGAAAAAAATCACCGAGCGCTTATCGAAACAGCGGTAGCAGGGAGAGAAATCCGTTTCACCTGTGGAGGTGTCGGGGAAATAGCCAAAGCGACCTACATCGTGCAGTAAAAGTCCAGCCCAGCACCACTTCAGCTTGCCAACGGAGAACAGCAGTAGTCTGGCCTCACTGCCAGCTCTTGAATGCGGCAGAGACGGAGAAGATTCTCCGCACCCTCTGCATGCGCAACAGGATGATGATGACGTATCCAAGCTGCAACAAATCGTGATTGATGTGACCTGCTCGTTTCGCCTCGATTCCAGGCCAAACGAGCCCCCAGGACCACACACCGCTTATGCTGCCCGCCTCAGAACGCGACGCAAGGGGTGATACCCCGCGGTGTTGGGACACGACACGAGACACGCTGGAGCCCGGATGGTCTGTTCCGGCAAGACGAAGACGGTTCGTTTCAAAAACGTCAACAAACGCAAAGAGTTGCAGTCAGTATTGTTGAACGAAGCTGGAAGCAGCTAATAGTCTCAATATATCCGCCTCCTGATGAGGCACATATTGTCGGCGCAATTCACCAACATGCTTCGGCTGCTGCAGGTCGATCGACAGCAGTCGCCTTGCTCCTACAGCACAGTAGTACTCTGCGGTGTGTGTTTTTGGGGCTGAGCTTTCCTTTGCAGCAGCAACACCAACCAACGGCTTTTTGTTTTTTTGCTCCTTCCGCGATTGCGGGGTTTCTTTGAAGGACGTTCGCACACACACACACAATTCTCACTGCCAATCAAATCGGGTGTTCGGGATGATGCAGCAGAGGAAAAAAACCGTTCAGCTGTCGCACCCCCCCTGGTACACACGGCACAGCCAGCGCAGGCACACCAGCAGTCAGCGAGAGCAAAGCACGGAAGCGCCAACGAAAAAATGGTGGGACTTTTGTGCTGCAGTCTCGCCATCCTACTCACGGCCGGCGCGGCTTCTTCCGCGGTCGGTACGAAACAGCAGCACCAACAACATGGCCGCCACCTGCAAACTGGCTCTTTGGCGTCTCCACCAAGCCTTGCAGTGGAAGGCGCTGACCCTTGGGTCGGTCGGCCACAGGCCAACCGATGTTCGGACCTAGATCAATCCGTCTTCTCCACGGGCATGCAATGTGGGCCGCCTCTGTCACCACCTTGCTTCCAATCCTATTCTACGGAGTGTCTATCGAATGGTGGGATCTACGTCTTCGATGGGGAGTGTTCGCTTCAAGACAGTAGTGAGCTGCTTGCTGCAGATCAGGGATACGAATTCAGCCGGACTCGGGTGGGGGATCAAGACGCGGCAGTGACCTTACGAAACGAAACCGCGCAGCTGGGGATGCTGGCGGACACGTACGCGTCAGCCTGCATGTTCGTGCATGTAGGGAAAGGACTCAAAAGGCCGTGCGCCGTAAATCAGCCACGGTGGAATAACGGCGCCAATCATCTCCTCGTCGACATGTCCGACAAAGGAAGGTGGGAGTAGGGCATCGGCATGCGCTGCATGTGTGACTTACAGAACGATGAGAGGAGGACGGTCGCAGGTATATGCAGCATTTGTGGCCTGCTGTACAGCATATTTGTTTCCCTCTTGGCCCGGGGAATGACCGCGTACATACATGTGGTGAATATTACTTGTATCTCAACTATCTTGTAAGTAGTTTTTTTTTTTTTTTTCCCCATCATTGGATTCTGTCGTCTGCCCCTCTGGCCCCTATCCTCTACTTCTACCAGCTAGACGACCTAACCGGGGTCACATAGGAGGGGGGGGTTCGACCCCCTCCTGCGGTTCCTGCCTGAGATGTTTTTATCGCGAGAAGGGTACAGCAATCCCTTCCCTCGCGACTTATGAAGTCGATCAAGTTTACTAACAACGAGCTTTGCAGCGGGTCGCTTCCAACGGAGACCAGGATTTAATAAGCGAACCCAAGACCTGGCCCTTGGCAGGCTACGAGGCTACCCACTAGACCGCCGACGCGACCGGTTGTAGTGTAGGCATGATATTTTGTCATGTTCTACAGCAGTACAGTAAAATAATAAAAAATGGGACCTCGCCGTTGCCTATCCATGGAGTGATGAACTTTGCGCAGGATTATTGGGAAAATTCTGTCGCGGATGTCATACATATGGATACGCAGGTCATGTTTCAGCTAAAAAGATCAAGGAGTAGAATCGCTCCGCGGAGCGTTTTTTTGTGTTTTGAAGTGCCACGGAGCGGAGCGGTTTCTTTCATTATAGGGTTTAGACTACACCATCGGTGATAGTTTTGACATTTGACGTAAAGATTGACATCTCGGGAAATTTTGACACCACTGAGGTTCCGCCGCGTTTTTTCTGGAGACAATATTCTCACGACGATATTTTGTCAGACCGTGTCAAAAAGAAGGGACATGAAAAGATTGACGACCATTCTGCAAGTGGCACACACACACACACATACATGACAGCCAGAACGAGCGTGAAGCGTTCCTTCTCTTCGCCTGAGGGGGGGGGAGGGGGTCGAGGTGGCGAGGGAGGGAGAATGGGAACGGAGTTTTTAGAATTTTTGCATGAAATCACAGAGAGGCTATGCATACCCGTTCGAAATAACACCACAATCGAATGGGGGAAGTTGTTTGATTTTCGTGCTGGGCGTGGTCGTGGTGTACGGAAGTGTGCGGCGTTAGGCTGAAGCCTCGGAGATGGCTCGATTCGCCGTCGGAGAAAGCCTTTTGACAGAACGACGGCTTTATGTTCCACGGAAAACGACAGCGAAATGGACATGTTGTTGTTGTTGTTGTTGTTGTTGTTGTATCCCCAAGGTGCTTCCTGCTCTCACCCAACGTGCTGTGTCGATTTTCGGGGGATTTGAGTGAGTGTGTCTGTTGTGCTGTTTCTCAACTGCTCGTCTCACCATTATGCTGTCGCTGTGATCTTGTCGCTGCTCTTCTTCCTCCTCGTCGTTGCCGCAGCTCTCTCTGTGTGGCCGGGACACCTTGACGTGGGCCAACATCGCCATCAAGGTTTCGCTCGAGTCGCACAACCTCCTGCAGGACGCGTGGCCGGACGAGATAGTCGGGCAGGTAGGCATCTAACTTTTCGTTCTTTCGTGTCGTTTTCACA